GCGCGGGTTTCCTCTTAATACTCCAGTTTCCTCCCACACCCAAAAAAAAAATGCTGGTAGGTCAAGGAAACTATAGAGATGTGTCACATGTTTCAAAAGTGTGGTTATAAAGAAGGCACACTTCAGAGAGTGGTGAATATTGCTATATCTACACACAGAATTAGTTTGTTATGTGACAGTGCTCATAGGAGAGCTTCAGAAACATACCAGTGTTCTTCACACTTACATTTTGGAATATAAGGAAATTAAACATATGAAGATGATGTGTATCCTAAAATTCTCTCACAAGGATTCAGGATGGTCCCACACCATGCTCCCTCTTTGGGAAGTCACCAGCCACCTAGTGATGTCTGCTCAAGAATACAAAGTAGAACATGGTTGGACTTTGTAGGAAACTTTAAATGTGGTGTTAACAATGGTCCTTGTTGCACGTATAGCCTGAAAGGAGATAAATGTAGATCTACTTCGAATAATTGGGAGTTTAGTAATAGCTCCTTTATTAACTGTAACACCAGGAATGTTATATACTTAATTACCTGCGGGATATGTACTATTCACTATATTGGCAGGACTACCAGGAGGTTGCGGGATTGCCTCCATGACCATCTATATAATATTGAGAAGGAACATGGCACTAATGTTGCGATGCATTTTAACTGTGTTCATGGAGGTGATCCCACTACCCTACAGATAACAGGGAATAGAATGAGTGAGAACCCAGAGGAAGGGGGGTGATTTATTCAGACTTTTATGTAAATGTGATGCATTCTGGATATTTCATGTTAAGACAAGAATTTGAGCAGGTCTTAACTTTGAAGGGGCCTTACCCATTATAATGATTGAATTGTTGTTCATTTTGATGCTTTGGTATGGATTTTTGTGTTTTTGCTTGATAATTTTTATTCTTTGATGTATGCATATGAACAATGTCTCTATCAATCACTGCCAATATAGCTGTCACTGTAGTTTTTTGCTGTATCACATGTTTTATTTGTTTGTTAGCTCTAATGATTTCAGATTTATTCTAAACTTTTTTCCTTACAAGATGTATCTGCATGTGAATGTATAGGCTATCCTACTGATTAAGCAAACCTGAACATTCAATTGTGGAGGTATTTAGGTATGCATGGTGGGACTAACAGTCAGGTTTTGACAAAGCACTGTCACAGTGTGTTCCCTCCCCTGGCTGTACATCTGTGTTGCTTTTATATGTGGTGACCAATAAGGCTATTTTGGATCTGTAGTCGAGTGTGCAACCATTCAGATTCTTTGTTGGGTGAGGAAATACATTGTTATTCCATAGTGGAGTTTGGGCATTGACCATCAGGAAGTGAAGTTTAGAGAGCAAGAAGTCCATACTTTTAAAGGTTTCAGCTGTAATTTGTCAGAAGTGGGGTTAGGAGCTGCATCCCTATACCAATGAGATATGAAGAAGAAAAGGATTGGGAAACAGGGTTGATTCCATTTTCTTAGATAATTGGAGAAATCTGGAAGATTCTGTGGTTGCCTAGTAAGGTATATGTGAACTCTGTGAAGCTCCATAATACAGTCTCAGGTCTGGTAATGCCAACCCCAAACAAAGGGCACTGCACAATTTTAAAATACCTAAGAAGTATATAAATTGGAAAGTACCAAAACGTATAAATTGATGACAGGATTGGTTTATGCAAGGTCACTCTTCCCAGGACCCCTAGTTTGGACCATATTTGTATTTTAGTCTTAAAGTAGAACTATATGCAAAACATTTTTTATTCATTTTGGATAGAGCAAGGGAGGTTATAACCCCTGTCAGATCTTTTTTTTCACCTTCTATGTCCAATTGCGGAAATTTCCCTTTACTTCCTGTCTCATAGCCAAACAGGAAGTGAGAAGTGAAAGGAAATTCCTTAAAATTAAGGGAATTCCTTGGGAACCCCTAGGTCACCAGACTAGTGTCCCCATTGGAAGATTTAACTTCTATTACTTTTCTGGGGACAACCCAAAATTTAGAATTTTCTTTTACTTTCACTTTCAATGATAATGGTAAACAGGACAAATCGAGAGGGTGAATCTTCTTAATGGGGGCACAGAGAACAAAAAAAACTAACAAGGGTTTTAATCCCTCACCACTCTATCCAAAATGAAAACCTAATTGTAATTTTGAGTGGCTTAATATTTAATTGCAGATATTCTACCAGGTCCACAGATATAAAAATACCTCACTCTCACAACCAGGAGGAAAAATATCTAAGGATGAAATTTGGGATTCCAAATTAGCAGACCAGAATATTGAGCAAACTGATCAATAGTCTCCAAAACCACATGGAGTGAAGGCTCTGGTTTGCCAGATATCACAGCATGTCATCTGCATACAGGCTCACTGTATCTACGTGTGGCCCATATTTCAGGACTTGGATACTTGGGTGTGTGCATAGTACAGTAGCTAGTGGTTCAACTACTATTGCATATAATATAGGGTAAAGCAGGCATCCTTGACGAGTTCACCTGGACAAAAATAAAGAATCTGAGGTCCAGTCAGTCATTAACACTGGTATGGGCTACTGGTTTACAATATAGATTTTCAGACTAAAAAAATTAGGGCCAAACCTGCATCTACGCAGTACCTGACAAAGAAACTTCCATTCTACAGAGTCAATTGCTTTCACTGCATCCAAGCTGACCACAGCTCTGGTGCCCAGCTTTCATGGGCATGTATAAAATAAAGAAAAGTGAGCGCACTTCAGTGAGCGGCTAATGCAAAAAGGAACTACAAGCCCTTCCAACCAGAATAGAAACAATAAAGTGCAGCGCTACAAATAATATCCAAGTGACAATTATATATGCGGTCATCAAATATAGGAATATTGAAGATGATAAACAGTTCAGTGATGGGGGACTCTCAGGGAGTATAGATGCAATCCAATCCCAGGAATAGATAAATTGCCTGCTTACCAGAAGTGCAATATTAATACGCATGTACAGGTTACATGTAGCCGGGGTCCCATGTAGGCGCTGCTTTATAGCACCCAGATGGTCCGTCGGTGGTAAGACGATGCTGGCCTGGTCGGATCACACTGCTCCTTGGATCCACGCAGAGAACCTAAAAATGCTGGGGCTGAGGTATGGGAACTCAGTGCCAGATGTAAGGAGTAAGAATACTCATAGTGTAGTATGTTTTAAAATTATTTATTAAATCCAATAACGTAAACCATAAAAGTTACAAAACGCATGCCTGCAGCCTGTAGCCAGTATAAGCAGCTTGAAAAAGAGATTCTATACACTGACCAGTGAATACCAAAGGTGGGCCGCCGGACCTCCTGACCCGGCGGCGTAACGTCAAGGCGTGCGAAGGCTCCTCCTAGACGCGTTTCGTGTCAATACACGTCTACTGTAGGGGTGATGCCATGCATGCCTGACTTCTGTTTGCCTCTTTATATGATTCAAAAAATCGCGCCAAACCGCAGTAGCGCCGCCTCGCTGACGATCGGCGCTACTGCGCGGGCGCCATTTTCCTGTGGTTTGGAAACCATAAAGATGGCCGCCGCGTGTCCCACTGCGCATGCGCGAATAGCGCGAATAGCTTTCATGGGCAGCTTAAGTCCTCATGCTCATTGCACGTTTTGATAATGCTGGTAACATTAGCTGTGTAAAGTCACATTAAAAACATGAGTTTCTTAGCATTTTTTTTAGAGTTTTTGCTTTAGAGTTCAGGGGCGGACTGACAACTCATGGGGCCGCCGGGCGATAGGGGATCATAGGGCCCCTGTGTCCTTGCCCACATCCAAAAAAGCCTATGAAAAAGCCAATGAAAGGTACCAGGGGCATTTCATGAGGCCCCCTACTGACACCAGGCCCTCGGGCAGTGCCCGAGTGCTTGAATGGTCAGTCCGCCCCTGTTAGAGTTTAGCGACATTTTACTGTGATTAGCTGCGTTTTCTCACATCTTTCCACGTTTGCTTTTTTTAGAGTTTTTTTTGGACATAAAAAAATTTTTTTTTTGGTCAAAAAAAGTCCAATAACGCTGGTTTGCTGCGTTTTGCCACCTTTTTCAGTGTTAGAGCGTTTTTACAGCTACAAAACTCCTCTAGAAACCCACTAGTCCTGGGGTTTTTTTCCAGCCAAAAAATGTTGATTACAGTTTATGTGTGCATGGACACATAGGATAACATGCTGGGGGGTTTATTGGCTGTAGAAAAACATGTCAAAAGCCAAAAATAGCCGCTGTAAAAACGTCAAGTGTGCATGAGGGCTAAAGGTTCGCATAAAAATGCCTAGTGTTCAGGATGATGCTTTCTTTCAGGGGGTGAAACCCATTTGGTTAGGGAGGTAAGCATATGAATTTTTTAAAAGCTTACTTTAAATTGAACCTAAGAAAAACAGCTAAACTAAGCAACTCAATACATGCATTTTCCTTAGCAGATTTGGACTCTTTGCCACACTGCGCAAACAAGCAGGTGCACTGTTTTCTTTTTTAGTTTTCAGCTTCTTCTGCCACCTGTTTGCTCAATAGACAATTAGGGGTTTATTTACTAAAGCTGGAGAGTCCAAAATCAGACTCCCTTCTGCATAGAAACCAATCAGCTTCTAACCTCAGCTTGTTCAATGAAGCTTTGGCAATGAAACCTGGAAGCTGATTGGTTTCTATGCAGAAGTGAGTCTGATTTTGCACTCTCCAGCTTTAGTAAATAAACCCCTTAGTATCAGATGGGTTCACTTTCCAATGAAAAAGAGGGATAAAGCTGAAACAATGGTGACTATGCAGTGTGGCAGAGGTGTGCATGTATTGCACCACTGGCAGATTAGAATCACAATTATTTTGGCAGATGTAGTTTATTTGCACTTCAATTGTATTTCTAGCTGTTTGGCTGGATATCTGAATTAACATTAGAACACAGTGATTACATAAGGCACTGCAGGCTAAGGTGTAAAGACTGCAGTATCAAAACAGCACTTTTTAAGGTGTAATTTAGGCAACCCTCTTATTGAAAATATAAAATCAACATGTATTACCTTTCCATCTTATCTTATTTCAGGATTGATGTCTTGGCCATTCTTTCTTGTGTGGAAAACTTGTTGTGGTCAGTATGCAGCACAGTTCAAGAACTCATCAAGCCAACACAAAGTTACAGAGATGTCATTTTTAAGATACATAGCTACTGTGACCACCTGCTTGTGGTTCTGACAACCTCTGCAGCACCCTTGGATATCTTGTCACAGTAAGTATTGTAATTAAATTTACAGAATAAAAATATGATTAGAACTCACACACCCACAAAGGGATTTGGCCTAATATTATTGTTTTCAAATAATCAGTTGAAAATTGTGTTAAGGGGGGAAATAATAGCAAACAGTCACATCTGGGTATTGAAAATGAATGTGCTAAAAGGTAAAATATTCAGCAGAGGACAAATCAATAATCAAATGCATGTATTTTGTTAGTTGCATATTTTATGCAGATTGGTGGAAGATGACCTTCTGTCATAGCTAAATGTATAGGGTGATAGATGGCAGTAAAGATAAAGTAGGGGCAATTAAATCCTTCTCCACTCCACCCAGGACTTGAAAGAAATTGTGAGTTTCACTATTTTGTGCACATGTACCTTATGAAATGTAAGTGTGAGCATTGGTTTGTACAATAATGAAATAAAACATACACATACACACATAGTATTTATAAAATGAACGCTATGATCAGTTGATGACTTATGAACTAAATGGACACACGTTCACATATTGCTAATAATCAGATATGAGGTAGATTCACTAACCTGTATTTCATTAAATTGTACATTATATAAAGGAAATAGATCAGCAAAACCAAAAGCACCTTTCCATCATTTGGATTCCATGTGATGCAAAAAAAAAAAAAACCCCATATGAAATCTTATTCAAGACTGGATTGCAGTAAATCTGCTATATTTGACCGTTTTAATGGTAAATGTCTACTTCAAGATTCTTTTTGAGGCTAGAAAGAATCTTTGTCAGCTTGCCTCTTCGGTATAAGTTCACATTTTATTAAGTAACATGGATAGGCAATTGACAATCTAAAGCTGATGTGAGGTGATGAGTGGCAGGGAAATAAAGCCATCTGACAATGACTGTGCCTTATCTGAGCGTTATTCTCTGTATACCCTGTAAAGAAGACTGGATTTCACTATGATTTCTAAAACATCTGCTCTTTTTTTTTCTGAAATACTCCACATCAAGGCACCTGTGCTGGTAAATGTGCAAGTGCTGTAAAAAATAAGAAAGCTGCTAAACAGAAAAGGACACTTATTTTATTGTGGTACAGTTGGAGAAGTTCATTAAGTGCTCACAGACTTTTCAACATGATGTAGATAGTGCAAAACTTTTGGCAGGTCGTGTTAGTTTTAATGTGTCAGATTTTTTATGCTTCTATATATACTAGGATATATACTAGGTGTTCTCTTTGTTACGTATAGCTGATCATTAGCGAATATTGTCAAACAGTGGCTGCAACTCAGTGCTTATGCCATGCAGACAAAGTCAAGGGTTCAGTTGTTGCGCAACCAAACATTAGAATTGGGACGATGTGTTGTGTGAGTTGCTTAAAATCAAAAAAATATTGTTGGTGCCAGATGTGGCAGTTGCAATGTCACTGGAACGGCTGAAATCTGTATAGTTTACAGGAAAACACCTTGTTAATGAAAGACCAGAGGAGAATAACCAGACGTATTCTAGCAGCCTCAAAGTACTCAGTTGGTCAAATAACCATTCTTTATCTTGAGTAGGATGGCACAGGAAAATATATTACATAGAACAAATAGGACACCTAAGTGGTTACATAAAAAGTGGATTTAGAGATTCCCCTCTTTGTTGTAGATGCCATCGAGACACAGACGATCTGATCCACATGTTGTGGTGGTGTCCCCAACTATTCTGATATTGGCAAGGAACAGTGGATATGATAAATATTATACATTATATGAAATTCAAATTCCCTCTGTCCCGCTCAGCTGTGTTTTAGGGGAGCTGAGTTTTTTTTTGGAGTTAAATAAATCTTCAATGCTGGCTATATATCGTGTCCTGTTTTTAAGAAGGACGTTAGGGGCTAAGAAGTTGCTCTCACCTGCCCCTCCAACAGTGGATGATTGGGTTAAGGAGGTTACTTCCTATGTTACATTATATATAAGGCTCATACTGCTGTACAGGAGTATAACCTCCAGAGTAGATTTGGATTGGTGGGTTTTTTCCCCCTCTTTATTTTTCTGAATGCTGTAAATTGCAGCCCTTTTGGGGGTTTTGTGCTATGATTAGGTTTGTCAGATGTTTTTTTCTTTTTTTTTTTTTTGCTGTTTGTAATCTGCCTTATGTATCCCACTACTGTAAGTCACAGCCACTGAGCCAATGAGGAGGGGGTGGGGGGCCGAGCTGCAGGCTTTGTGTGAATAGACAGACATAGCAGCGGCTTGAGAGTGAGCCTTTTCAAGTGCCCCTATAGCAAAATGCTTTCTCTGGGGCACTTGGCATGAAGGAGGGACCAAGAGCACTGGTAGGGGACCCAAGAACAGGAGGACTTGGGCTGTTCTGTGCAAAACCATTGTACAGAGCAGGTAATTATAATATGTTTTTTTTTTTTTTTTTTTAAAATCTGCCTTTAATATCACTTTAAGCTATGCATTCATTAATAATTAATATTTGCTGCTACTGTATAAACACAATGAGCCAAATAGGGTCTAACATTTTACATAATGCTGTTAGTATAATTGTTTTCAAGAAATATGAGCAATGGCCATGTACAAAGTGTAACCCAGAGCAAATAATCAGCCCCAAGATAAGTGAAGTATTGATTGGTTGCTGTTATTTTCCTTTAACATTGTTTTGTCTTATAAAATAGACATTTAAACCAGGCAAGTATGATTTGTAATAGTCACACTGGTATTTCCTACTGTATTCCCAGTTCAAATACACATATTCCAGTTACCCATTACATTGTCATTTGTGCAGAATCCCAGGCTTTACTATTGTATATTAGAAAGTGTTCATACCTTCTGAGAAACATCATAAAAAAAATTAATGTTCTGATAAGAGAAAGAAAGGGATGATCATTAAATTTGTTATATAATTTAATATTTTGTAAAGTATTTTAGGGGTTATATTCTTTTCAGATGGTATATTCAGATACAGTGGTAATTGCATCATATGCTTTAATGCTTATTGATTGTGAAGTTTTACACTTTTTTTTTAAAATAAAAACTTTAAAAAAGATGAAACTGTTACGTTAGCATGTAATATTTGTTATATATATTTCATGTCATTTCAATGTCATTGCAGGGCAGTTAAGAAGAAACGTTTTGATGAACATCATGCTCATCCTTCAGAACCATTACCTGAAGATTTACTGTACTGGTTAAAGAAAGTAAATCCCAATATATTCCCCTCCTCATCAAAGTAAGTATGTTTCTTTCTTTTATGCCTTCTTTTAATGTAAATCTTAAAAAAAAAAACTTTGACCTACAAACTCTTCTTGCTAGCCAATTTTTGTGTTTCAGCTTTTGTTCTGCTTTAAGCAGAGGTTATTTTCAATGAAAACTGCTCATCACAATGATCAGCAGATCAAGTGACTTGGACAGCTGGAGTTATATGCAAATAATGACTTTTTTATATTGAAGTATAATTGCACCTTAGGTGCAGTTACACTTATATAATGGCTCCTTTAAGGAGAAAGGGTCTGCCTTCAAGGCATATCTGCTTTAATTAAATAATTGCTTTATGTTTGTCCCAACATGGGAGCTGTGTTAGGCTCTGTTAAACATTTGGCTTGGCAGTGTGGATTCAAATATATTTGCAAATGTATGAAGCAGAAACCTCCTGTTTTTTATGTTTAATCTTATTTTATTAAGATTTCAAAGGAAAGGAGTACAATCCACAATATATCAAACATTCAGCTATAATATATGAAATCCAGCTTGCAAGATATATGTGAAAACATAGGGAAATATATACATACATGTATCGTGTGTCTATAGAATAAAACTGAACTAATTAGCAGAACAAAAGTTTTGGAGTTTTCATTAATCTTACAGTCAATATATACGATACATTGTCAAATGGAATAACTATAAAGGTGGATTATGTTTGAAAATGAACAAGTAATTTGAACAATTACCCCTGTATCATTTCTCAATACAAACATTGTGAGCTTGGAGTCAGAAATCCACATTTTATCAGGTAACAGATAAGTATAGAGATAGGGAGAGAAATATAGATAAAGATGAAGGATGAGGATAACATTTCCATAATAATTATTAGTATAATAGGGACATGGAATGTTCAGGTCTTTTCACTTGACAAGCCAATTTCTCAAAATTTGTGTAAGGCCTGGCAAGCGAATCCACAGGACACACTGGGTATAATGTAGAAATTTCTGTTTTAATGTAAAGTTATTAAAATGGTTTAGACTTTGTTTTTGTGACAGTGGGCTGGTCAGTGTGCTGGGGTACTTTTGTATTGTCCTGTGAACTACCCTTCCCATGTGCATGTTACTTTTGCCAAGTATAACTGGATCAAAGTGGTTGTCATTCCTTGCTGGGCTATGATGTACCGTATTTTTCGCTCCATAAGACGCACCTGACCATAAGACGTGCCTAGGTTTTAGAGGAGAAAAACAAGAAAAAAATATTCTGAACCAATGGACTGCAGACATAGTACAGGAAGTGACCAGACACTGCGGACACAGTACAGGAGATGACCAGAGACTGCAGACAGTACAGGAGTGACCAGAGACTGCGGACAGTATAGGGGATGACCAGAGACTGTGGACACAGTACAGGAGATGACCAGAGACTGCAGACAGTACAGGAGTGACCAGAGACTGCGGACAGTACAGGGGATGACCAGAGACTGTGGACACAGTACAGGAGATGACCAGAGACTGCGGACACAGTACAGGAGATGACCAGAGACTGCGGACATAGTACAGGAGATGACCAGAGACTGTGGACACAGTACAGGAGATGACCAGAGACTGCAGACAGTACAGGGGATGACCAGAGACTGCGAACAGTACAGGAGATGACCAAAGACTGCAGACAGTACAGGAGATGACCAGAGACTGCGGACAGTACAGGAGAGGACCAGAGACTGCGGACAGTACAGGAGATGACCAGAGACTGCGGACAGTACAGGAGATGACCAGAGACTGCGGACACAGTACAGGAGATGACCAGAGACTGCAGACACAGTACAGGAGATGACCAGAGACTGCGGACACAGTACAGGAGATGACCAGAGACTGCGGACAGTACAGGGGGGATGTGCAGAGACTGCAGACAGTACAGGGCATGACCAGACACTGCGGACCTTTAGGGAGGGAGGGGGAGCGGGTACCTGAATTTGACAGGTACCCACTCCCACTTCCGCGGAGATCTCCTTCCTATACTGTGGGCACCCGACTTTGACAGCTGGGTGCCCACTGCACAAGAAGCGCTGCGCTTTGTGAATGGCCCAGCGTCTTTTGGGACCTGTCATGTGTCCCAGAAGACACCTGACCATTCACAAAGCGCAGCGCTTCTCGCGCATGCACAGATGCCGGGGCGGGAAGAAGTTTGCGCAGGAAGACTACAGCACTGGACCAAGGAACAGGTGAGTTCCTGCCGCAGAGAACAGCTGAGTGGCTGGCCCGGTATTCTGACATGGTGGCGGCGGAAATACCGGACCGTCCGCTTTATATTCTCGTCTTCCCTCCTGCCCCGCCCCCCCCCCCCATCCTATCCATCACTACTAACATCACCACCATCAATCCCGCCCCGCAAGCCAAAGTCCTTGGGGTCATTCTGGACTCTAACCTCTCCTTCCAACCTCATGTCAAATCACTGACAAACACATGCAGGCTCCACCTCCGCAATATCGCCAAAATACGCACCTTCCTTACCCCAGACACCGCTAAACTACTTGTGCACTCCCTGATTATCTCACGCCTTGACTACTGCAACTCCCTCCTCACCGGCCTACCCCAGTGCAAACTCTCCCCGCTTCAGACCATCCTGAACTCAGCTGCCAGACTCATCCACCTCACCAGCCGCTCCACCTCTGCCACCCCCCTCTGCCTCTCCCTCCACTGGCTCCCTATCGCCCAACGCATCAAATTCAAACTACTCACTCTGACCTACAAAGCCATTCACAACACTGCCCCTAACTACCTCACCGACCTGATTCCCAAGTACCACCCTACCCGTACCCTTCGCTCTTCACAGGACCTCCTTCTATCTTGCTCCCTGGTCTCCTCCTCACACGCACGTCTGCAAGACTTCTCCAGGTCCTCCCCCATCCTCTGGAACTCACTACCCCAATCCATCAGACTGTCACCTTCCCTCCTCACCTTCAGGCGCTCCCTGAAAACCCACCGCTTCAGGGAAGCCTACCCCACCCTCACCTAACTGCTGCTCTCCTTCATTCCTCCTACCACTCCATCCCCCACAGCCACTTCCTCCTGTACCACTACCCCCTCCCTCCCAGATTGTAAGCTCGAAAGAGTAGGGCCCTCTTACCCCTCGTGTGCTGTTCGTAGCTGCTGTAATGTTTCATGTATTGTCCCCCCCTCTATTGTACAGCGCTGAGCAAACCCTTTGGCGCTATATAAACTCAATGTAATGTAATGTAATGTAATATTCGCTACATAAGACGCACTGATTTTTTCCTCCATTTTTTGGGGGGAAAAAAGTGCGTCTTATGGAGCGAAAAATACGGTAAGTGTAACTTCACCCTTTCCTCCACCTAAACCTTCTTGTTGGACAGTGATACCACCCATCAGAGCCACCAATAGGGGGACTCAGCAGGCACCAAGCCTTGAAGTTTAAATTTTCAAATACCTTTGTCTGCCTTTAGTATCTTGTATCTCCAGCACTACTGGTTGTTTTAACATAAGTTTTTCACTGTAGATAATATCTGGTCTTGCAGTTTTCCATCGATTGATGACAAGTGTATTACAAAAGTGTAGCTTTTTGATAGTTCTTTGAAAGTCTTTTTGTATTGATTTCAGTAATGCTATGCTGCTATAAAGTTCCACAGTTATAGAGAGCAGCACAATGAAAGTACTTTTGGGCCCATCATTGTTTTTTTTCATGCCTAAGATTTCTCACAAGGTGAGCAAGGGGGCCTTCCAAAGCATATGTGAATTCTGACTTTCAGAAAAGTTGATGTTTGCATAAGAGATTCTGTAGGGTCTGGCAGAGATTTCTCTGCAAGTATGTATTGTGAGGCAACTTGTGGTGCGTGTTACACAGTGCTTATCTTAAATTCTGTACCCCTGATACAGCTTTAACATAAAGACAATTTCCTGGAAAATAACTATTTACGCTGTTGAAATAGATATATATGAGTTGTCCTACCTGCCAAAAGATATGCATTTATTGTTTAGCCAGTCTTATTATGCAGACACTCTCACTAGATAACATATTCACTCACTTTTCTCCAGCGTAATTTAGCAGTACAGCTTGGCCAAAAAAAGCCCCAGTCTTAATTTACCAATGATGGAGAAGCACTATGCAGATGATGTCATCACTTTTTTCACCAGTCAATTCCCTGTGTTCAACTAAAAGCACTATGCTATGCAGTCCTATTGACTGACAGTCAGATCTGATAGTCCTGCTAAACAAATAATTACTAAAAGCTAATATATGAACAGATTTCAGTACTTATGCTAGCTCTTCCTAAAAATACATTAAATTATTTAAAGTAACTGGTTTATATCTCCTTGGAATTCATGTTTAATATCTGAGCATCATGAACCCATGACATTTCTCTACTCTCAAAATCACCTAAACATTTTGATTACAAGCTGAGTACTTTTTGTCCCAATTAAACAATCCAACGTTTTCTTTTCTAATCACTTCATGCATAAGACCATCAATAATACCAGGTCAGGTGAATATGTCTCCCCTTGTATGCCCCTTTTCTGTTGTGAACCCTTCTGTGGCTCTGAAAGCAGTATTAAACCCAAAACCAAAAATGTACTACATTGCAGCTTACAATCATTGGATGTTGTAGCTGCATTCATTTTATTTTTTTTAGGCTTTTTCCCCTCTGTTTTTCTTTATAGCCTCCCTGGCGGTATTCCCAAGTGTAGCTCGGGGTAAAGTTTCAGCACCACAAGCGTTAACCCCGAGCTACACTTGGGCTTACCATGAGGCGCTACTCCGAGATCCCTCAATCACTTACCTTGTCCTGCCCTCCCGCGATGTCCCTCCTGCAGTGTCCCCGGCAATGTAATCCGGCGGATGCCGGCATCTGTCATCTGGGTTCCGTCCCCTGTACATCCCAACACTCGCAGGGGAATTTGAAAATGACAAAAAGTGACATTCACTAAAATCACATAGTAGAACATTACTGTATCAAAGCATTTCACATACATTTTGTCCCTAGTGCTTTGTCCTGCGCCCTGCCTGCATTTT